TATATATATATATATAAAGTCTCTGATGCCCAACCTCTGTCCCAGTGGTTCATGTGGTCCTTTGCACTCACTGAGCGACCCTCGGGGGTCCCAGCAGACCGTAGTCTATATTTTGGTGCCAGTGAAGAAAACCTTTTCTCTGCACTGGCTGCTACTTAGGTTTTTCAGTGCTGCTCATCCGTTATCTCTTTATGTTTTGTTTTTTTTCCCCTATTATCTTCAGTATTTAATTTTTTTGGGAGAAATATCAAATGTGGCACAAGTGATTTTAAGAGGGGGCTTTAAGGAGCTCAAATGTGGAAGCATTGGTATCTAAAGGTGATCTCTAGCAGTCTGATGTATCCTGTCTTTTTGTCTCCTGCAGCATGTCCCAAGTTTTTGTCCATCTCCTGACCGCATGTCGCCAGTCTTTGTCCATCTCCTGTAGCATGCCCCAGTCTTTGTCCATCTCCTGTAGCATGCCCCAGTCTTTGTCCATCTCCTGTAGCATGTCCCCCGTCTTTGTCCATCTACTGTAGCATGTCCCCAGTCTTTGTCCATCTACTGTAGCATGTCCTAGTCTATATGGCCATCTCCTGTAGCATGTCCCCAGTCTATGGCCATCTCCTGTAGCGTGTCCCCAGTCTATGGCCATCTCCTGTAGCATGTCCCCAGTCTATGGCCATCTCCTGCGGCATGTCCCCAGTCTTTGTCCATCTCCTGTAGCATGTCCTAGTCTATGGCCATCTCCTGTAGCATGTCCCCAGTCTTTGGCCATCTCCTGTATACATTTATATATGAGTTGTACTATGACTGTGTGTGGTTTTGTAGATGTGGATGTTTTAGGTGTGTGATTACCACTGCACATGACCCTGGTAAAAGGGGAAGATGGATTTGCTCAATTCTCTGTAGTTTGTCTTAGCTTTTACATCCTCTTAACTGAGTACAACCTTTCCTGTCCGTGTATACCGCACCGCACAGGCTTTGTGATATAGATTAGGCCCCCGCTCATACCATAGAGCTTTGTGCTGCAATGTTGTAGCACAATGCACTAAAAGTGCATGCAAACGAATTTCCATTATAATCTATGAAGCATCGTTACATCGCCGTGCTGCGTTAGAGGGCAGTGAGTGGTGTTTCTGAAAAATCCTGCCTGCTGCGCAAAGCATGTTACATTATAGTCAATGGCAATGCACTGAAAACGCATTATGCCCAATATGCTTTTTAATTAGCGCATTTTCCAAGTTGTGCGGGAATGTGTGTGTTACCGCAATGCACACTAAGTATGTCAGTGTGTTGCGGTATAATTGGTTTTCAATGGCGCCCGAATGTGCACCACAGTTCACCACAGCGCAAGATCCGAAGTTTTTATCCATCCATGCATTTGCACCTGATAAATTTGAATGGGTCACAACACACAGTAAAGCGCAACATAACACGCATTAATGCAACGCACTGAAGCGGACAGGTCTGAATAGGCCCCAAGGGGGGAGTTGAACTTTATGGTTATTTTAGAGGGAAACAACAGTAGTTTGGGAGCACCCATGACACAGGATTCACAAAATAATTAAAATGTGTATGTTGGGTTTGGTGCTGTCTCCTTAAAACCCACATTCCCGGGTGCTGGGCCAGCACGCAGAGTAATTGGGTACTCTGAGAAGAGGAGTGACAAAGGACCCCTTCCCTCATTGCACATCATTCCCCTCTCCTCCTTCTGGGAGTGTCTAATTATTCGGTGTGCTGGCCCAGCTCCTCTCCTTACCTTAATATACTGTATAACCTTTTAGCTTTAAAAAGAGCGAAGGGAAATACTACAGAGCAGCTTTCTCAACCTTTTTTCAGTCGCGGCAAAGTATGCAAAATCTAAAGGCACCCCAATCTAAAAAGGATTTGTGGCCCCTCCTTAATCCATACCAGACCCTTATCTCAGATAGGGATCAGGAGCCATCTCTTTTCACATCAGAGTCCCCCCTCTCACACTAGGAACCCCCCTTTACATCAAAGCCCACCTCCTCATACATCGGTGTCCCCTCTTGATATCAGAAGCCCCGTCCACATCAGGAGCCCCCTCCACAACACAAGCTTGCCTGTCTGCCCTTGGCATGACCGATGCAAACATTTTCAGTCACCCCTGACGCAAACAAAAGGCACCCCAAGGTGCCATGGCACCCTGCTTGAGAAAGCCTGCTAAAATGTCTCTTGAGTGACTCCCTCTGGGGCAGCTGACATAACATCCAATATGGCGGTGCCCAGCAGCAGTCTCAGAGCCTTTATATGTCTACACAAGAGAGATTTGTTAATGTTAAATGCACATATAATATTATGAGAAGTTTGTTCTTGAACCAAATGGTCTGGAGACAGGTTCTCTTTAAATCTAGCCCTTCTTAACCTCACCGTCTTTTTTTCTCTGTTTCTCTCGCCCTCAGGTCGCCCAGAAAGGAATCCGAAATCTACAAACCCTAGAGCCGGAGATTACCTCTGTCTTTGTTCCCCCCTTCATCCCCAAAGAGGAAACGGCGACAACATCTGCTCAGAACAACTTCCAGCGGCTTCCCAGGCGGCGCTCGTTCCGCAAGAAGAAGGAAAAGCCCAAGTTTGAGGTCGGCTCCGCCAATGGTGGGAGCGAGACCACCACAGAGGAGATCAGCGTGCCCAAAGACATCGATCTGATAGGGTTGCCGCAGCTCTGCTTTCCAGGTACAGAACATTATTAAAGAGGAAAGTCAGGAATGTGAAAGGTTAACCCTTGCAATGGAGCTACACCCACATTTAGGGGTAGGGGGTGCTGACAGTGCACGTTACCAGGGGTGGGTGTGTGTGTGGAATGTTGTTGGCAGTGCACATTATGGGGGGGTTTAAGGTGAGAGTGTTGGCGGTGCACGTTATGGGGGTGGTGCTGGGGGGTCCGTGCACGATACCTCTGTCCGGCATCCTGTCGAGCCCACTGACCTCACTGATTGTCAGGAGAACATCCCATTCAGCTCCTGGCAACAAGTGACATCAGTGAGCTGCGCGGGATGCCGCCTAGAGCGTCATAGATGCTAAGATCACATGTGACCCAATGAGGCAACCGCCTCAGACTGCCATATGATAGGATCAGCCCAGTCCACACTGCAAGGGTTAACTGCTAGGACCTGCCTGGTTGCTAGACCACCATTACAGTTCTCCCATTGCACACCAGACAGGAAACAGTATACATGCGGGTGCTGGAATGACATGCGGATGGCACTGTACAAATCCAAACTACATTTGGTTGCTAGACCAGTCCTGCAGCCTCTTCTCCCCCAGGTTCCGGTGGTCAAAGGGCCGCTGATGTCATCACATCCAATACAGTCTATTTACTTGAATTGGACATCAGGACACCAAGGGACATACCACAGCCGGGGCAGAGTAGAGAGAGGTGAGCAGCCCGTTGCAGGGCCGAGGATCAGGTGAGTATATCTTCTGTAGCCCCTAGAGAGAAACGAGCAGTTACCCCTTGCAGTGCAGGGGTAGCCCCCCTCTTGAACGTATTGCCTACCTGGAGTGGGAATGAGCCCTTCTGATAATTAGGCAGGTGAACTATGACCGAATAAAATCCGACCCCGACCACTTCTTAATTGTGCGTCTGTCATGGTTGGCTGCCCAGGTCACAAATGCACATAAAAACCGTCCCATAGATTCTGCTGACTGACTGACAGCCTGATTTCCATTTGTTGCTGATTTGCTTAATCAATGTCCCTCCCTGTATAGAACAAAGGTGGACTTCTGCTCTGGGCTGCTGCCTCCTGCAAATCATTTCATTCTTCAGAAGATGAATCGGCGCCTATTGTTGTGTCAATAAACACCAAACCTTTTCCTTATCACTTCCGTCCCCTTCTTTGTATTACTAATAGCTTCTGTTAGTTCTGCAGTAGTCGGTCTATAGGTAATTTAAAGGGTTTATTTTCATTTAATCTGCCTATATTTTGCCTTCTCTGGTCCCCCCCCCCCTCACCCCTCATCAACATGCTAAAGAAAACCTTTCCTTCTTCATTACATACTTATTTTAGGTCATCACTGGATCTCTATGCTTCTCTATGCAGTGCAGGCAGATCATGGCTGGTGGGAGGGGCCGGCATTGTGCTGTACATAGCTTCCTTATTACATCACTGCAGCCTGCCTCAGTACTGCTCTGAAGAGCCCTCAGCTCTGATAGACTGTGGGTGGGCTCTTGGGAGGAGTTATGCAAATATCAACATCTCTTGATGGGTGGAGGAGTGGGTGCTTGCATGGAGGCTGCCCTATATAACACCTACAGGTGATGCTGAGCCTCCATGATCCAATTAATGAAAGGGGTGGGGCCAGGGACAGGCTGGCGAGAAAAGTATTTTGATGATGCTGGACGTCCCCCAGCCGGAAATGAGGCGTGTTCTATCTGACTTGCTGCTGCTGCTTCTAATGCACATTGTGAGAAGATCCCAGATAGAAGGGGTCAGATAGAAGACTGAAGGGAAGGACGGAGGTCAGATAGAAGACTGAAGGGAAGGACGGAGGTCAGATAGAAGACTGAATGGAAGGACGGAGGTCAGATAGACTGAATGGAAGGACGGAGGTCAGATAGAAGACTGAAGGGAAGGACGGAGGTCAGATAGAAGACTGAAGGGAAGGACGGAGGTCAGAGAGAAGACTGAAGTAAAGAACAGATGACGGCTTTAATAATTCTGTTGGTCTAATAAGGCAAACGTGCTTTGTAAATGTTAATGTTGATAAATGTTATGGTTGATAAAGTTTTATGGTTTGAATGTCTTTAAAACATAACATTGTCTCCATAGGGGGGCTGCCCATAACCTCGGAACCTAAAGAAGACACTTTCCACTTCCTGGTGTTCACAGATGTTTTGGGGAACAGAACGTACGGCGCCGTGGCTCAGTTCTCCAGGTCCATTCAGGTATCATGTGACGTGTCCTGTCCGCTCTATGGACGTATCCGGCAGATAATTGTAGCTGCTGCTTGTGACCAGAGTGCTGGGTGATTGTTCATTGTAGAGAAGCAGCTTAAAGAGAAAGTATAGTCCTTAAAGGAGAACTCCAGGCGAACCACCAAATGCACAGACGAAGCACATATTAGGGGGCTGAATGACCTGACAAAGGATGTGTAGCTCTGTCCATCCTGTCCTGAGAGTTACAAAGCACTGACACACAGCTATTTCTGGCAGGGCAGGAGACCTGATTTCCCTCTGCTGCAGTTCAGTGCCACGTACAGGTCTTGTCCCTCCCCCAGTCTGTGATTGGATAGTGACAGGAGAAGCAGCAGACTGTAGCACACTCCCCACACATCACCATCTTTGCACTGATCAAACAACCCAGCCCCATCTATCATCCATCCAGTGCTACCACACAGCAAGAGGACATAGGGGTCTATTTATAAACAATGCCCTGTGACTATCTGTAAACATTCGTTTTGGCCGAATAATTCCAAAAATGAATGTTCTTGTATGATTTGGTGTCCAGTTTGAATGCGGTGCGTTGTAATAATACATTATGGCCACTAGATGGAGCTGAGGAGAACAGGCAATAAGTATTTATATCCTGTGCTCCTCAGCTCCATCTAGTGGCCATAATGTATTATTACAACACGCTATGCTCGAACTGGGGAAAAGAAACATATTAAGAACATTCATTTTGGCATTATTTGCCCAAAATGAGTGATCACAGCTATTTACAGGGCGAAGGTCACTGTACATTTTTTAAAAACGGATCCCTAAGGGAATGTGTAATTTTGCTATTGGACCCTTGTTGGAAAACCCGCAGAACCTGCACTGTATAGGTCATGTAGAGCAACATGTCTGAGTTAGAAATGTATCTGCTCACACAACACGTCCTGACGTCCTGTATTGGTGCTGGAGGTAAACTCTTATACCGATACTCTGAAATAACTGGAGTTTTTTTTTTTGTCCCCCTAGGATACGTTGGGGTTGTCCAATGGGCAGGCTTACTGGGATTCATCCTCAAGTCACATCAAGACCTACGATACCTACACGTCCTTTGCCCTGTGTGTGATATCCAGATATCCTTACTACACCGCCCTGAAGGATTGTCTCTCATGGTAAGATTTGATTCCGTTTATTTATTGATATTTGGGGGCGGGGCTGGGAACACATAATGCAATTCTATAGACTGACCATAATTATTGCAAATGGCCGGGAAGACTCTATAGGTCAAGGAATGTGTACTGTACATAGACCACCCGTGTGCTTTTCTTAGAGACACTGTCACTATGCTCCCGGGCGTGTTCCACATAGCCCCACCTCCCGGGCGGGTGTATACCACATAGCCCCACCTCCCGGGTGGGTGTATACTACATAGCCCCACCTCCCGGGGCGTGTACCACATAGCCCCACCTCCCGGGGCGGGTACCACATAGCCCCACCTCCCGGGGCGTGTACCACATAGCCCCACCCCCTAGACATATATACTTATCCAGCCACGCTCCCTCACTGCCTGCCCGCACTGCCATATCCTTCATGAAGCAGTTAAGACAACTGGGAATTGCTATCAAAATGCAGCTTCAGTGTAAAATGACATTTGCAGACAGTCTGTAAGTGTCATTTAGTAACACAATGTAATAGTAATTACAGTATGATCACATATTATTTCATTCATATGAAGCTCAAAGGTGTGACTTTACACTGCCTATGATATCCATTAAAAAAAACCTTCTAAATAAATAAAATAAAATAAATGTTCTCTCCTTGTTAACCTTAAGCAGCCCTAATTAACTCCTTCCTCACCTTTTTATTTTTAATCATTATTTATTTTATTTTTTTACATTTTTTGTTCCTTGTCGGCAGTGTCCGGTGCCTGTCCTCTGATACGTTAACATGGAAAAAACAAATGCACACAGTTTGAAAATAAATCAATAAATAAAATTTTTGCATTTGAAACCAACTTTGCCATGCTTTGTACCAGAAACATCATTTTAGTGTCTTTTTCAAAGGTGCAAATGATAGAATTGACAGATTTACTTTTTATTTAGGTTATTTTTTAAACAACACTGGGTCAAATAGACAAGTTTATTTTTTTTTATGTCTTAGATCTTTGTCTATAGATACTTGGTTCTCAACTGGTGCCATTCAAAATATGCTGCCCGGCGCCCAGTGCCTGCTTGAGTTGGGGTGAGCTGGGGGTATGGCCGCGAGGGAGCTCCATCCATACGTGCATTGCTTATAGCTCCCTCGCATGTCCTGTAGAGGAGCCTGGACCGGAGTGACGTCACTTTCTGGCTCCTGCACCTCTACAGGCGCACAAGGGAGCTGTACAAGCAATCCGCATATGGCTGGAGCTCCCTCACAGCACAGCAGCACACACTGCCGTATCTTCCTCTGTACACCGTTCCTTGTTTCACCATCCTCGACACATTTGCAGACTTCCAACTGTAAGTCATATATATTTGTTCCTTCTCTCATGAATAGATGCCATTCAATATCAGGTAGTAGCGCTCTTTCTTGTGTTTTTCTGTTTACAGGTTGAGAACCACTGATTTAGATGACGTAGAAAATATATATATATATTTAAAACATTGTTGCCAAAAGAAAGCCAAGTTTGCCCCAAGAATCAATGTTGTGTTATCTTAGGTAATGACAGCGTTGTCTCCCAATACCCAGTGCCATAGAGGAGATGTTAACACTTCTCTGGTCCAGAAGAGGTATAAGAGCTGAAGCAGAATGAAATGTTCCAAATGTCTCGCAGCACTCCTTGCCGGATATCCCGGAACAATGGGTGCTCAAAATGACTGCGGATGGCGCCGCTTCCAGTGAAACTCAGACAAGTGCTTTCGGGGGCCACATAGGGTCCCCTTCATCAGGCTCAGAAAAGACGAAGCGCTTGTCTGAGTGGCATCTATCAGTAAAATGGATTCACGCTGATGAATAAAGACTGACCAGGCTTTATTCTGGTGTTCTGGGGACATCTATATTAAGTTTTACTGAAGCAGAAATAAAGTTTCATAAAACTTAAGGAGAGAGTGAGGATAGAACCGCCGAATTCCACACTCAGGTACTGCCAAAGAATGTAAGTATTTCCTACAGAGAACTTCCTGAGAGGGAATTAATAAATCTGACCTCCGCCCTTCCCTTCAGTCTTCCCTCTGTCCTCCGCCCTTCCCTTCAGTCTTCCCTCTGTCCTCCTCCCTTCCCTTCAGTCTTCCCTCTGTCCTCCGCCCTTCCCTTCAGTCTTCTATCTGACCTCCGCCCTTCCCTTCAGTCTTCTCTCTGACCTCCGCCCTTCCCTCTCCTCCGTCCTTCCCTTCAGTCTTCCCTCTGACCTCCGCCCTTCCCTTCAGTCTTCTATCTGACCTCCGCCCTTCCCTTCAGTCTTCTCTCTGACCTCCGCCCTTCCCTCCAGTCTTCTCTCTGACCTCCGCCCTTCCCTCCAGTCTCTCTCTGACCTCCGCCCTTCCCTTCAGTCTTCTCTCTGACCTCCGCCCTTCCCTTCAGTCTTGTATCTGTCCTCCGGCCTTCCCTTCAGTCTTGCACAGTGGTACCGGCTCCTCTCCCGGACTGAAATGTCTTCCTCTGATGTCACTGCACACTGCGAGCTGCTCGCCATGTACATTAGAAGCTGCTGCAAGTCAGATAGAGCCCGCCGGCTCGAATGATCGGGTGAGTATAACTTTATTTTCCTCCCTAGACCAAATGAGCACTTACCCCTTGTAGTTTGGGGGTAGCCTCACTGCAAGGGTTGATGAATGTTTGACCCGGAGTTCCTCTTTAACAGTTCATAATATTTTTGCCTTTTAGAGGCTCTGCGATGATTTGTAATGGAGAATTCTAGAAGGTTGATCTGTTGGTTCATTCCATCTGATGAGCGCGCTCAGTCTGGTTCTGCGCTCTGTCCAGGCGGTTGTCACTGTTTAATGAAGGTGTTTCTGTTTACGTTCTGGAGGATGAAGTATGCAGCGAGCGTTCTCTAACCGCCGTTCCCAGGAACATACCGCACGCACTTTGATCTCACAGACACGGCCTCATGTATTAAAGATCAACCAATCCCCGTCCAACTGTCCATGAAAGGAAAAGGAGTTTGCTGTGGGGGTGACGCATTTCATTAAATGTATTACTATTCTAGATAGATTAATTAAAGTGGAGCTCCGTCCTTCCCTTCTGTCTTCTATCTGACCTCCGTCCTTCCCTTCATTCTTCTATCTGACCTCTGTCCTTCCCTTCAGTCTTCTATCTGACCTCCATCCTCCCCTTCATTCTTCTATCTGACCTCCGTCCTTCCCTTCATTCTTCTATCTGACCTCCGTCCTTCCCTTCATTCTTCTATCTGACCTCCGTCCTTCCCTTCATTCTTCTATCTGACCTCCGTCCTTCCCTTCATTCTTCTATCTGACCTCCGTCCTTCCCTTCATTCTTCTATCTGACCTCCGTCCTTCCCTTCATTCTTCTATCTGACCTCCGTCCTTCCCTTCAGTCTTCTATCTGACCTCCGTCCTTCCCTTCAGTCTTCTATCTGACCTCCGTCCTTCCCTTCAGTCTTCTATCTGACCTCCGTCCTTCCCTTCAGTCTTCTATCTGACCTCCGTCCTTCCCTTCAGTCTTCTATCTGACCTCCGTCCTTCCCTTCATTCTTCTATCTGACCTCCGTCCTTCCCTTCAGTCTTCTATCTGACCTCCGTCCTTCCCTTCAGTCTTCTATCTGACCTCCGTCCTTCCCTTCAGTCTTATATCTGACCTCCATCCTTCCCTTCAGTCTTATATCTGACCTTACGGCCTCCCCTTTCAGTCTTGCACAGTTGTACCGGCTCCTCTCCTCTTCCTCTGATGTCACTGCACACTGCGAACCTCTCACAATGTGCATTAAAAGTTGCAGCAAGTCAGATAGAACTCGCCTCATTTCCTTGCTGGTGGGTATCGGTTGTATGTGTGTAAAGAGGAAGCTGATCCCATTCATAACTCCTTTTTGTTTTTTTTGTACCTTTCCCGTGTTTTATTTATTTTGTATTTCTTTTGCTCTTCCAGCTTTCTGGTGCAGCTGAAATCGTGCAAAGAGTCCGACCTGGACGAGCGAATAAAGGAATTTGCCGCCAAGCTGTCTCTAATACCGAATCCGCCCCCGGGACCCCTCCACCTGGTAATGCTTTTAGAGGCCAGGAATGTTGAAGTGACGCATGCTGGTTGTTTTGTAGAAAGATATATATCTGTGTTTACAGCAATCTCCTCTCATCGGTATGTCACGGTATATGATACATCGGGGCCGATTTTATATTCAGTTACCTGTTAACAGATGCTGAGCCCAGATTGTCAGAGAGTTTGTAATGAGATCCGTCTGAGTTGATAATTTAAATCCAATCAGAGTCCAATCAGGCCATGGGTTTTGAGAACAAACAGAACAGGAGGTTGCTGTGGGGGTGACACCGTACACACACCCGGCACATTGGGCCCAATAAAACATACACACATCGATCAGCCATAACATTCTGATCACCCGCCTAATATTGGGTAGGTCCCTTTTTCCTGGCCTGTCCAGGCATGGAATCCACTAGACCTCTGAAGGTGTGCTGTGGTATCTGGCACCAAGCCGTCAGTAGCAGATCCTTTACGTCCTGTAAGTTGTGAGGTGATCGGCCTCCATGGATCGGACTTGTTTTTCCAGAACATCCCACAGATGCTCGAATGAGATCTGGAGAATTTGGAGGCCAAGTCAACGCCTCAAACTCTTTGTTGTGTTCCTCAAATCATTCTTGAACCAGTTTTGCAGTGTGGCAGGGCGCATTATCCTGCTGAAAGAGGCCACTGCCATCAGGGAATACTGTTCCCATGAAGGGGTGTACTGGGTCAGTAACAATGTTTAGGTAGGTGATACGTGTCAAAGTAACATCCACATCAATGGCAGGACCCGAGGTTTCCCAGCAGAACATTGCCCAAAGCATCACACTGTCTCCACCGGCTTGTCTTCTTCTCATAGTACACTCTGGTGCCATCTATTCCCCAGGTAAGTGACACACACGCACCCGGCCATCCACATGATGGAAAGAAAATAAATCCCCAGACTAGGCCACCTCCTTTCATTGCTCTGTGGTCCAGTTCTGATGCTCATGAGCCCATTGTAGGCACTTTTGGCGGTTGACACCAGCAGCCTGGGCACCCTGACTGGTGTGTAGCTACACAGCCCCACACACAACAAACTGCGATGCTCTGTGTGCTCAGAAACCTTTCTATCAGATCCAGCCTTGCCTTTTTAGCAACATTTGAGCTCCAGTATCTCTTCTATTATTATTATTATTACATAGTATTTATATAGCGCCAACAGTTTGCGCAGCGCTTTACAATATAAGGAAGACATTACAATCACAATACAATTCAAGACAAGATGGTAAGGAGGGCCCTGCCCCTGAGGGCTTACATCTGAAAGAGGAGAGGGAAATGATACATGGGGAGATAGCTGTGGGAATGAATTATTTGAGAATGTGAAGGTTCAGTGGTTAGGTTGAGGTGGGATAGGCTTCCCTGAAGAGATGAGTCTTTATGGAACGCCTAAAGGCAGTCAAGGTTGGAAATAGACGGACAGGTTGGGGTAAAGAGTTCCAAAGTATGGGAGAGACTCTAGAGAAGTCCTGGAGGCGAGTATGGGAGGAGTGGACAAGGGAGCTGGAAAGCATCTATTCTATTGGATCAGACTACACGGGCCAGCCTTTGCTTCTCACGTGCATCAATGATCCTTGGCCACCCATGACCTTGTTGCCAGTTCGATGGTTTCCTGTTCTTGGACCACTTTTGGTCGGTCCTGAGCACAGCAGACCGGTAACATCCTACAAGAGCTGCAGTTTTGGAGTTGCTCTGATCCAGTCATCTATCCATCACAATTTGGTCCTTTTCAAAGTCACTCAGATCCTTCCACTTGTCCATTTTTTTCTGCTTCCAACACATCAACTTCAGGGACAAAATGTTTACTTGCTGCCTAATATATCCCCCCCCACCTCCAGGTGTCATTGTAACCAGATAATAAATGTTATTCACTTCACCTCTCAGAGGTCATAATGTTATGGCTGATCAGTGTATTTCACAAGGACAAAGTGCAAGGTCCATTGTATGTAGCAGATCTCCCTGCCAGTGGTTGGGCTGCCCATCCTCTGAGAAGTTTGGAAACCAAATGGTTGTCTAGTGTGGTTGCATTCATGCAGATTCTAGCAGATGACTAGTTCTCTTTAGGGCTTTCCCAGGGTAATCTACCACCCCCCGGAGAGATATTAGATGTCTGCGGGTGATACATTGTATCCACGTCCAGCTATTCTAAAATTTCCATCTTGTTATTGTTAGATATGAAAACCATTTTCTGACACGTCTTTCCCCTGCAGGTATTCAACATGAAGCCGCTTCAGATCTTTTTCCCATCCCGTGAGGACCCCGAGAGTCCCATCATTGATTTGGATCTTCACCTTCCGTTCCTCTGCTTCACCCCTAAGCAGGTCTTACAGGTAACTCTTGCCACGCGTGCCATGAATACTGAATATACATGATGTTCACATGGGGGGATGTAGGTATTTGATCCATCTCATCGGTTGAATACCTGCTGCGGCTTCAGTGTAGAGATGCAGCAGCATGCCAAGAGATGGGCCCCCAGAAAGGGAAGTATGGGGATTCTTTGTTGTATTTTGCTGGTAAAATAAAGATGGTGACAGGGTCACTTTAAAGCTTCCCACAAAGGTTACAATATGATTGTACAATCTGATTTAGACCTACAAACAACTATGTAATACAAGGGCCTGCCTTACTGCATATAAACTGAATGCATAGTTTAGGTAGGTCCTCATATTGCATAGTTTTAGTGGATCAGAAGTTGGTTGTAAAGAGATTGTATGGTTACATGTATGGTGACCCTCAGAAGACTCCTCAAAATGCCTCATATAACCTTTGTTATCCATACAATCCTCTGGTTCGCAGAATCCACTTGATGGCTAAACTCCACCATTCCCCTGTTTAGTTAGAATTCCTTTGCTGGCCGCTGAGGCAGTCTCATTGGACGGTGAAATGATTGGTCTTAGCCAAGAAGTCACTACCGATATCTCCTCTCTAGATCATGGCTTGTATCCTGACCGAGTGCAGCATCGTCTTCTTCTCTTCGGACTGGGCCTTGCTGACGCTTGTCGCCGAGTGTTTCATGGTCTACCTCCACCCCATCAAGTGGCAGCACACGTTTGTGCCCATCTTATCCCGACATATGCTGGACTTTATCATGGCGCCAACTTCGTTCCTTATGGGCTGTCACGTGGATCACTACAATGAAGTGCGCAAGGTCGGTACCAAATATCTCAAGCTGTTTTCCTGACAGAAACATACAGAGTTCATTGGGATACAGTTGTTAGTTTAGTGGTCTGTGAGTCACATTTCTGATATTTTAGGCCCATGGCTCCTACAGTTACTCAGATTACACACATTCTTTACCAGATCCCAATCATGGGGCTGTTTTACATTGTAAAACAAGATGAACAAGTGTGACTGACAGAGCCGTGTCACCACTTTATCCGTGTACAGAGAAGAATGCAAAATGATTTCTCTGCATGGTTGGTAAGTGATTAGACAGGAAAAGAGACAGACTGCCAAAGGACTTGATGTAGGCAAACTCCGGCCCTGCAGCTACAGGTGAAACTCGAATAATTAGAATATCGTGCAAAGTTCATTTATTTCACTAATGCAACTTAAAAAGGTGAAACTAATATATGAGAGAGACTCATTACATGCAAAGCAAGATAGTTCAAGCCGTGATTTGTCATCATTGTGATGATTATGGCTTACAGCTCATGAAAACCCCAAGAACCCCAAATCCACAACCTCAAAAAAGTAGATTATTACATGCAATCAATAAAACAAGGATTGTACATAGAACAATATCGGACCTCTGAAAAGTACAAGCATGCATATGTACTCAGTACTTGGTTTGGGCCCCTTTTGCAGCACTTACTGCAATTACTTTTGCACGATATTCTAATTATTCGAGTTTCACCTGTATAGTGCAACTACAAGTCCCATGACGCATTGCAAGACTGACAGCCACAGTCATGATTCCCAGAGGCAGATGCATTATGGGATTTGTAGTGTCATGCAGACTACCCTAGGTCAGCGTTTTTCAACCACTGTGCCGCGGCACACTAGTGTGCCGTGAGATATTGTCTGGTGTACCGTCGATTAATCGTTAATTTCTTTGATCGATCAAAATTATTTTGATCGATCAAAGTTACTCACCTCTCCGCCGGCTTCCGGGTCTTCCGTCGGAGATCCGGTGACGTCACGGACATCGACGTCACCGGACTCCTCCCCCCTTCCCCGAGTGGCTCTGTCGGCTAACGAAGGGAAGGGGGGAGGAGTTAGGGTCACTTTAAAGCTTCCCACAAAGGTTACAATATGATTGTACAATCTGATTTAGACCTACAAACAACTATGTAATACAAGGGCCTGCCTTACTGCATATAAACTGAATGCATAGTTTAGGTAGGTCCTCATATTGCATAGTTTTAGTGGATCAGAAGTTGGTTGTAAAGAGATTGTATGGTTACATGTATGGTGACCCTCAGAAGACTCCTCAAAATGCCTCATATAACCTTTGTTATCCATACAATCCTCTGGTTCGCAGAATCCACTTGATGGCTAAACTCCACCATTCCCCTGTTTAGTTAGAATTCCTTTGCTGGCCGCTGAGGCAGTCTCATTGGACGGTGAAATGATTGGTCTTAGCCAAGAAGTCACTACCGATATCTCCTCTCTAGATCATGGCTTGTATCCTGACCGAGTGCAGCATCGTCTTCTTCTCTTCGGACTGGGCCTTGCTGACGCTTGTCGCCGAGTGTTTCATGGTCTACCTCCACCCCATCAAGTGGCAGCACACGTTTGTGCCCATCTTATCCCGACATATGCTGGACTTTATCATGGCGCCAACTTCGTTCCTTATGGGCTGTCACGTGGATCACTACAATGAAGTGCGCAAGGTCGGTACCAAATATCTCAAGCTGTTTTCCTGACAGAAACATACAGAGTTCATTGGGATACAGTTGTTAGTTTAGTGGTCTGTGAGTCACATTTCTGATATTTTAGGCCCATGGCTCCTACAGTTACTCAGATTACACACATTCTTTACCAGATCCCAATCATGGGGCTGTTTTACATTGTAAAACAAGATGAACAAGTGTGACTGACAGAGCCGTCGTTTTGTAGCGCGTTAGGGACGGGCGGAAATATGCCAAGGTGGGAACGAGACCATTGACTACAATGGGATTTATATTTTTGAGCATTTTGTAGAGCGTTCGTCAAGCGTAGAACGCGCTACAAAACGTTCAGGTGTGAACGAGGCCTTAATGTACTGTACTGTCTCCCCAGTCTAAAGTTGGGTATACAGGTGAAACTCAAATAATTAGAATATCGTGCAAAGTTCATTTATTTCACTAATGCAACTTAAAAAGGTGAAACTAATATATGAGAGAGACTCATTACATGCAAAGCAAGATAGTTCAAGCCGTGATTTGTCATCATTGTGATGATTATGGCTTACAGCTCATGAAAACCCCAAGAACCCCAAATCCACAACCTCAAAAAAGTAGATTATTACATGCAATCAATAAAACAAGGATTGTACATAGAACAATATCGGACCTCTGAAAAGTACAAGCATGCATATGTACTCAGTACTTGGTTTGGGCCCCTTTTGCAGCACTTACTGCAATTACTTTTGCACGATATTCTAATTATTCGAGTTTCACCTGTATAGTGCAACTACAAGTCCCATGACGCATTGCAAGACTGACAGCCACAGTCATGATTCCCAGAGGCAGATGCATTATGGGATTTGTAGTGTCATGCAGACTACCCTAGGTCAGCGTTTTTCAACCACTGTGCCGCGGCACACTAGTGTGCCGTGAGATATTGTCTGGTGTACCGTCGATTAATCGTTAATTTCTTTGATCGATCAAAATTATTTTGATCGATCAAAGTTACTCACCTCTCCGCCGGCTTCCGGGTCTTCCGTCGGAGATCCGGTGACGTCACGGACATCGACGTCACCGGACTCCTCCCCCCTTCCCCGAGTGGCTCTGTCGGCTAACGAAGGGAAGGGGGGAGGAGTCGGGTGATGTAGTTGTCCGTGATGGGTAACGAAGGGAAGGAGGGAGGAGTCCGGTGACGTCACGGACATAGACTCCTCCCCCTTCCCTTCGTTACCTGACGGAATCACTTGGGCTGAGTCTCCTCCTCACTCTTGGGCCGGTGAGTCATCGCATGTGTGTACAAGGCAAAATCTGCTACCCTGGTGAGACCCCACAAAGCCATGGGGCTTTTGGGGTTGTGTGGTAACGCTGGGTGTGCCATGAAGGAGTTAATAAAGTGATCATTAAAGTGTGACTCATTCTAACCGCAGAGGGCAGAACCAAATGTAAAGCCCCCCCCCTAACCCGGCTTCCTAGGAAAGAGAAGGGGGTGAAGGTGTTTCCCCCCGGAGTGTGGTGAGACCCCCTATGAGCCCTGGTGAGACCCCACAAAGCCATGGTGAGACCCCATGGAGCCCTGGTGAGACCAGGGCTCTGTGGGATCTTGCCAGGGCTCTGTGGGGTCTTGCCAGGGCCCTGAGGGGTCTCACCAGGCTGGTGAAATCGCACATAGCCATGGTGGGACCCCATAGAGCCCCGTGTGAGACCCTACGGAGCCCTGGTGCTGGTGAGACCCTACAAAGCCCGGGTTTAACCAGGGCAGTGTGGGATCTCACCAGGGCTCTGAGGGGTCTAACCAGGCTGGTGAGACCCCCACATAGCTCTGGTGAGACCCTACAGAGCCCTGGTTAAAGCAGGGCTTGGTAGGGTCTCACCAGGGCTCTGTGGGGTTTAAGCAGGCTGGTGAGACCCCACAGTGCCCAAGTGAGACCCCCAAAGAGCCCTGGTGAGACCCCACTGAACCCTACTTTAACCAGGCCTCTGTGGGGTCTCACCAGAGCTCTGAGGGGTCTCACCAGGCTGGTGAAATTGCACATAGCCATGGTGGGACCCCATAGAGCCCTGGTGAGACCCTACGGAGCCCTGGTGCTGGTGAGACCCTACAGAGTCCGGGTTTAACTAGGGCAGTGTGGGATCTCACCAGGGCTCTGAGGGGTCTAACCAGGCTGGTGAGACCCCCACATAGCTCTGGTGAGACCCTACAGAGCCCTGGTTAAAGCAGGGCTTGGTAGGGTCTCACCAGGGCTCTGTGGGGTTTAACCAAGACTAGTGAGACCCCACTGAACCCTACTTTAACCAGGGCTACGTCAGTGCTACAGTTTGAATTTAAAACGTATTTGTGTGAAGTGTGAAGTTAAGTCATGGATTGAACAGAAATATGAACAATTATAAAATACTTTATTATTTCATAATAAAGTAATTATAAAATAATTTCTTTGTGTTTTATTTGATTCCTATTCAAGAGAATTACTTTATATATAGTCAATATAGGCACAGAGGTAAATTTTTTTAACATTTTCTAATGGTGGTGTGCCTCGTGATTTTTTTCATGAAAAAAGTGTGCCTTTGCACAAAAAAGGTTGAAAAACACTGCCCTAGGTAACGTCCACATGTGATGCTGACCTTCCATGATTGAAAGAAATGAAATCCAATGAATGAAAGGAGCAGACCATGGACAGTCAGGCCAGGGTAGAAAGTGTTAGTTGATGCTAGGCGACTTCCAGCCAGGAAATGAGGCGGGCTCTATCTGACTTGAACAGCGTCTAATGCACATTGTGGGAAGCTCCCAGTGTGCAGTGAAATCAGAGTGAGGGATTCCAGTGCAGGAGAGGAGCCGGTACAACTGTGCAAGACTTGAGGGGAGGCTGAAGATCAGCTTTATATATGAATCTTTGGTTAGGATTTCATGTTATTGTTCTGGGTGAAGGGTGCCATGCAGTTTGAGGTTGTCACCCAGTAATATTACTGACGTTTCCTGTTGTCTTTTCCCTTATAAGGAAGCTGAAGATTTGGTCCTAATTAACATTGATCATGGGAACATCTCCTTCATCGTAAATGAAGACGAGGAGGAGATCGATGCAGCAGATATTCCTGTAGAAGCCGCTGAGATGTTCATGTGCAGGTAAGTGATATGATATGTTGGGTATTAATAATCTATCACATGCTTCGGTCAGTGGATCTAATGGCAGGAGAAATGGAATCTATATTTTCGAATTATCATGAAGTTAAAAAATCATATCACTTGGACGATGATTAAGCAAGAGAGGACAGCAGAGTTCAATGGTGGTATGACTAAAAAAATGGATATGACATGACTCCTTCACATATAGGACTGCTGGACACAACTGGTGGATCACCTACTCCCCAGCCATGACCATCCTCTTCTCCCCGGCCGTGACACTCGCCTACTCCCCGGTTATATATATATATATATATATATATTACACACACACACACATATATACATCCAAGCTGGTTGGATGTCTAGTGAAGCATCTTCAAGAACAATACAGAAAGTCCAGTTGCCTTGACTTATTTTTTTACAGATATACCATGAACTGGATGAATGAGAACCTGCACAGACATTTTGTTTTCTGTACTTTGTACGTCCTTCCATTGGTACAATGTATTCTGTACTGCGAGTTGATTTGTCTCATAGAAATGTGAATAAAAGGCAACTTGATAAAACTGCAATTTTAGATTTGTGTTGTTCTTGTCGTCCTTTGCAGAGTGGAAAGCCTTCAGCTGCACTATGACCGGGAGCTGTGTCATCGCTCCGCACCCATTGACATCGGAGAAGTGAGACTCCGGAGGCGGCTCTGGCAGCATAATCTGAATACAGAGATACAGGAGATTGCTCTGCAGCTGATTGTGGATATATTCCGGTAACTAAGTCACAGTTATCATTCATGTGATGAGAGATGTTCTACTATCGGGGACTCGGGAAGTGTCACTTATGTAGAGGAGAGAATGAGTGTAATGGTGTGCTGGAGGGAGGAGAGTGCAAAGTGAAGGGGAGAGTAATGGTATACTGCAGGAGAATGATGGGTATAATACAGAGAGGAGAGTCAGGAGT